ATATATTTATGAGAAGCGGTTTTTCATGTCAGAAATATACTCGGAGGCTTTCTTCGACCAGGGTTTCGGAATTGTAGCTTTTATACGGTGCTAAAAGCTGATGCATCTCCATATAAAGAGGCCATTTAGAAGGTGCCCCACCCGATGGTCCGATTTCTTTCTTCTCCTTCCTGCATTGAAACATCGTGTGATAAAAAAATCTTATTTAAATAATGGAGTCAAGTCTCACCTACATGAGGTTTTTTGTTGGTGATTCCCTCAAAATAGGCTCAGCGCGTCCAGCAAAATAACCCTAGGAGAATTGTGGAAATATATGTACGTATGTAGTCTGCGTCGTGCCCTTGGATGAAATTTTTTTTGATAGTTGCCCAACCAGTCCGGCGAATTGATGCTGATGTCATGAAGCACCGGCCACCACACACTGCAAGCTAGCTAGTCGCACATGGTGTTAATGCTAGTGATTTTCTTTTTTTTTAAATAGGAAGATGAGCATAGCATTTAGTCAGTAATATATAATTGCCTCTCATCCTTTTTTTAATTTTGACTTACCCAAAACTCCTTGCCTGTGCGTTGTATAGGTTATTGTTTTGACAGTTGCCTACCAAAGACAATAAAAAGCTTTATCGGCATTACCAGGCCAGTGTTTTTAGCAACTGGTATAATGCACTGGAAGAAAAGGAAAAGAAAAGGTATAGTTAGATTATCGAGGATACTAATACAGGTAAAAGGTTCAGAAGGATGTGGGGGGTGGCTCCAACGCCGATAAATAAGGAAACCAAGGATATAAAAGTAGGTCGTTTCTAGCGGAGTCGCCAAAACGTTAGTCAACGGCAGGACTTGCCACTGCCGAGAGTGCGGTTTCCTTTTGTTTAAAACGTCCGCGGTAAATTCATGTGAGAATTGAAATCGTTTTTAAGTTAAAAAAAGGTATAAAAAAAGGTTAAATCAAATTTTATATGTGTAAATAAATAAAAAGTTGATTATACGTAGCGCCATTAGGAGCCGCACGACAAATTCCCAAAGGCGCCCATAGAGGAGATCATCGTTTATTTATTACTGAATTAGGATACATCGGAGCCCGCAAAAGTTGTGCCGGAAGCTGGTAGGGCAGGTGAAACGATCTTCCCCTAGATTTAGAGTGCGAGGCACAACTTTTGTGTAAGTGCTAGTTTTTAAGAATAATCTTTTATTGAGGGCATACGTATCACCCGGTACCTGAAAGCAGCTGAACTGTTGGGGCGATTAGCTTGAAGTCGCTGTAGTGGGAATTTACCCAGGAGGTTACAGGCGGCTGTAAAATTTGAGACACACGCTGTTATATGACAGTCTGTTAAAGTGTGCAAAGGCTTTTGCAGCGATGCCAAGATAAGCGCCGGAAACTGGGGCGCTAACGTTTGCATACATAAGTGCACGTTTGCCGAGTTGCTGTATTATTTATTTATTTTATGCAAGTTTTAGTTAGTAAGCTATAGCTTGACATACATACCTATATATTTCTTTTTTTTTGCATATTTTATTATTTTTTCCTTTTTATTATTTTTAAGAGCTTTTTTTTGAGTCGAAGTCAGTTTCTTTGTAGAGACCCAGTAAACCTACCTCCATATTAAGAATCCGTTCCGTTTGAAATCTAAGAATCTACCCTTTAAAACCGCCCTCTAAGAGCTCTTTTAGGCAGGTTTAAGGAAGACGTTACGATTGGAAAAGGTTTATGTTTGAAAACCCGTACGTTGGTGTAATCCTTTTAATATTGGGGTACTGGTTTTTAACGGCCCCAAAAATTGTTTTCGTTTCAGTTAATTTTCTTGTAAAACGTTTATTGTCAAGAATGGTATAATTTTGTATCGACATACACTTTAATGTTAGTACTATGTTAGTGTTAGTTAAGGGAGATGAAAGATTGTCCAAAATAAACTATACAGTAAGTTGAAAACAAATGGATATTTAATCATGTGCAGGTGCTAAAATTTTTTACTCGGGGGGATGAGTTGAGGAGAAAGATAAAATCTATATAAATATCTGGTGGACGTGGTATTGAGAAGGGGGTTGCCAAAGAAATTTTAATGGAACCCAAGGTTGGGAGGGCGAACCAAAGAGTGTGAGTGAAGCGCAGCAGAAATTACTTTGTTTGATAGGATACCTCACGGCCTGATGCAGCGGGTTGGGAACCCGCGATCCGCGCTTGAGCTAACCGAGGAGCTGCGTCAGGCATGATGGCTTTGAGGGTTCACCGTATTGCAAATATATAACAACATTTTGTAACAAATTTTTCGGAAAGGAGAGAAAGAGACAACTGCTTGTGTAAGATGTTGTTAGTGCCACAAAACTTACTGACAACAGTAATTGATATTTTAACTCGGCTCGGAAAAAAACTGCATCGATGTCATAACATTTTATACTGTTTAAAATTTGGTTAGGAAGTTCATATAAATATTAATATGACATTAATATAATTGATCAAACACAGAAATAAGTAAACATTAGCTCTGATCCAATACTTTTCGTGAAAAATCCTGTAAAACTGTCAAACAGCAAAATTACTCTCTGAAGTGAGAGTAAAAAATGAGTAACAACAAAAAGTACGGAACAAAAAAACCCTTTTTCCTGTAAAAACGTCAACCAGTGATTGCTTGTCACTTTTCATGATTTTACCAGAAGAAAAAGTTCGGGTAAAATCTTGCAACTTCATTCTCTACACAACTCTCCAAAAGACGCTCTCATTTACAGGATTTTGGAGGATTTTGGAGTACGGGAACATTTTTCCTGCAACTTCCTGCAATTTCGTGTAAAATCCTGTAAGTTCATGGAGTACTGGATCAGAACTATTGTCTATTATAAAGTCAAACATACCGAGTACATTGTAATGAATTCTTTTCAACGAGTTGTTTTTAGTGAGTACTTTTTCGACTAACCGTGTCGATAACTTTTATTTAAACTATGTTCACATTACCAACATAAAAAACTTAGTTTCGTTTAAAATACCTCACTAAATTAAGTGCGTTCATGCACGCGATTCTTTATTTGTCTTGACAGCTTTGTAGCAACCCTGTGTTATTTTTTATTTAACCAAAAGAGATCGCGAATGTGATTAATTGCGTATATTTTTATATTCTGAGTTGTTTGTGGTAATTTTTTAGATTTTAGATGAGTGATCAAAAGAGAAAGCTTCTGGAAATATTAGCCTTTAAAAAGCAGTTAAACGCATTGCCAATATTTCAAAATGCATCCACCAGCAGAAAGTATTTGCATCTATTGCAGAAGCGGCGTTCTACTATTATTAAAAAGATGTTTTTGTTGAGGAAACAATATTTTTTGTTGTTGTCGTCTGCTCAATACCTCTCTAAGCAATCCCGATTATATTGGACAAAAGTGAGTATGCTTGTGCACCTCTATACTAAGGTTTATTAACTATTTTTCATTTCCAAAGGAACGTTCCCAAACGTTTTGGGAAGTAGACTGTCAAGTGAATGGTGACGTGTTCTTTAAGAGCAATTTTAGTATGAAGAAAAGTACGTTCCTTGAGCTGTGTGGATATTTAAGAGTGTTGGAAAAAGAGGATACCCCTTTACGTAAGGCTATCACTTTACACAAACGGGTAGCCATTGCTTTGTATGCATTGGGATCATCGGCAGAATATCGCACCATAGGAAACACGTTTGGAGTTGGAAAGTCCACTGTATGTGGAATAGTTAAGGAGTTTTGTATTCAGACTTGGAAGGTTTTAAGTCCAACTTTCATGCCAACTTTTCCATTGACGAGACAAAAAATTGCCGAATTAGTCCAGGGATTCGAAATTATTGGCTTTCCTCAGTGCATGGGAGCAATTGGTGGGATAAATCTACGTTCTTGTACCAATGTATGTGTCAATAACTTTTTGATTAAACCTTGCAGACGGTTGTCATATTGAGATTCATCCTCCTAGACAAGATGCCACGGACTATCATAATTACAAAGGGTGGTATTCCA